CGCAAATACAACAACCGATCAGGCTCACAATTTTTCAAGAATTGAAGAACCTTTTTGAAACTTAAATATACTATTTCTTCTGGTATATACTTTGAAGAAGATGAAGTTTGCTACCAAATGAGTACAAAAAGGACATTTTATGCCTCTTTCCCATTAAACCTAATTGGATTGATAAAACATAGAAATTAAATAGGAGAAAATGCTTACTACTCAATTCGATCTTTTCCTAAGTGTGGTTTTTACAGGCAACCGAAAAGACGCATATCAAAAACCTACTGTTCTGACGTGTCTGAAGTATCATAAGATTAAACCGCGGAATATTCCGTATTCTGACTCCACTTAAGTAATCCTTCCTAGTCGGAAGCGCATTTCGGAATTTCGGTTAGCATTTCATGACGTCAGTCACCGACCGCAATTACTGCTGAAACAAGGGGCTAAAAAAAGACGGTATCCGCACTGAAGTTTGCATTTTGCGTCGTCATCGACTCTGACCCCATGACGTAATTCAACAATCACTGGTAGATGAAATCTTCCCTTGTGTCTATCTGCAAGAAGAGAGATAAGACGAAACGTATAGAAATCCGTAACATTAGTCTCATTCACATTGTCACAAACATCTTCGCCACCGTAATTCTCAGACCGTTTCAGAATATGCTCGATTTGGAAACTGTGCTCAGCCAAGCAGTATTTCGGGTTGGATATGAATGTACCGACTAAATATGCTCTTTTTAGCACATTCTAGCACTCCGCCATGGCTGTGAACAAGTGATGGTCTCCTGGTTTGCATACTGTGCTGCAGATTTTGAATCTGCATCGGTGGTGAATATTGCAGTTGGACGGTTTGTCAGCAGAAATTATCGAATTGATCAGGGCCTACTATTTTTCATTAGTGTGCGTGTTCTTATTCACCACAATCTCTTCCAATCATTTATTAGTCGGTCTGGCGTTCGACAAGGTTGCATTCTATACACAGATAGTATTGCCGGCAAAGACAAGTGAGACTGAAATGGCCTTTTCCGGCTTATTGGCTGTCGTCAGCCAGTCATACCCAGTCCCAAGCG